GAAGACTATGCAAGCCCACCATTGGTACACTCAGACAACCTGGTTTTTTGAGAGAGGATTAATTAAAAATACAGTGCATGGTATCTGGTGATCCCTTTTCCCCCTTAGAGGCTACATCTAGACTGCAAGCTTCTTCTGAAAGAAGCTTTTCTGGAAGAGATCTTCCAGAAAAACTTTTTTCAAAAGGGAGCGTCTACGCAGCAAAAGTGCAACAAAAAACAATGTGCTTTTTTGAAAGATAGCATCCACATTGATTGGATGCTACCTTGCATTTCAGTTGTGACTACTGTGGACGGAATGGCCACCAGGGCACCGGTGCTTTTTTTCTGGAGGCCTCTTCTTTCGAAACAACATTCTCTTCCACATCCACACATGCCTTTCTCCAAAAAGCTTTTTCGGAAAAAGGCTTCTTCCTCAGAGAAAGAGGTTTACCGAAAAAACCCTCCGTTCTTTGGACTTTCTGTCAAAAGAATGCAATAGCAGTGTAGATGTAAGTGTAGTTTTTCTGGAAAAATGGCCTTTTTCCAGAAAATCTCTGCAGTGTAGACATACCCTGAAGGAAGAAAAAAGATGGAGTCTAAATAAGAAAAAGAATTGAAATTCCAGATCACTACAGTTTACAACTTTTACTCTCAAGACACAAGTAATAGGAATTATTTTTATTCGTGTTCAGAATAGCACTTGACTGCAGAAACCATACCTGTCATCCTAATTAAATAATCGCCCAACCAGACCTCTTCATCAGGATTTGCTGATGTTTGAGGGCTCAGATATAAACATGTTCCCTATGTGAACTAAGATACAACTTCCCTATGTGAACTAAGATAAAATGAAGTGAAGGTAAACTTAAAAGGAAAAATGTACCAATGACAATAGTTGCTTTTCTTCCCCACTCTCCTCCACCCTACTTTATTTTTCAGTTTGGGGGGAGAAGACTTGCTTTAGGGTCCATTCTCTTCCTTATAATGCCTGAGCTACTTTAAGCAAAATAAATCACTTCTCCATACATGTGGGGATCTCCCACTGATAATTATAGGAATTGCACACATGTATAAATAGACCCCTAGGTACTGTTTCATCTCCCTGACTTCTCACAGTAGGACAGATTCAGCTATGGTGAATTAACTGGCTTGAGGGCACTCAATTTGGCCTCTTGCCAAAAAATACACCAAGGGCGATGTCAATGACCATTCTGCTGTTTTTAAGCAACCACCTGCTGCAAAATATTCTAGATGACATAATTTTATTACAACTCAACACTTTAAAATGTACATGTTGGTCAACACTCAGCCTAATAAAAGTGCAAATTAGAATAAAGTAATATAACTCTTGCATCAAATTGACAGTTAAAGTACTATCTAAGGATTTAGTCGGTGATAAGGGCACAATTACATTAGAAACTATACAATACAGACAAATAACACAATTTAGCATTCAGAAAAGATATAGAGAACACACCTTTACATTTGTATTCCAAAAGCACAGCCACTGGCATTATTGTGGATGGGTCCAAATGATAAGAAAAGCAACCAACCTTTCACTTCCAACCTCTATCTAAAAGCAGTCAAGAGCTTCTATATTGTGAGCCAGTTGCAGAGCGTAGAGGTGTGGGGGAACAATTGTGCAATCTGCCTTAAGTTATTTGGACTTCTGTGGCCTTTTAAAGTAGGAGAAGCTGATTGATGGAATAGTGCAGGGAACATGTTACTCCCTACGTCTACACTGGCATGATTTTCCGAACATGCTTTTAACTGAAAAGTTTTCCTTTAAAAGCATTTTCGGAAAAGCGCATCTAGATTGGCACGGACACTTTCCCGCAAAAGCACTTTTTGTGGAAAAGCATCCGTGACAATCTAGACGTGCTTTTCCGCAAAAAAGCCCCGCTCGCCATTTTCGCGATCGGGGCTTTTTTGTGGAAAAGCATCCGTGACAATCTAGACGTGCTTTTCCGCAAAAAAGCCCCGCTCGCCATTTTCGCGATCGGGGCTTTTTTGTGGAAAAGCATCCGTGACAATCTAGACGTGCTTTTCCGCAAAAAAGCCCCGCTCGCCATTTTCGCGATCGGGGCTTTTTTGTGGAAAAGCATCCGTGACAATCTAGACGTGCTTTTCCGCAAAAAAGCCCCGCTCGCCATTTTCGCGATCGGGGCTTTTTTGCGGAAAAGCACGTCTAGATTGTCACGGATGCTTTTCCACAAAAAGTGCTTTTGCGGAAAAACTTGCCAGTCTAGACACAGCCTAGGAGTAATCCAACTGCAGCCAATACAAATTACTTTGTTATTCATTCACAGATATTCAAGTCAGTTAATAAAAATCTGCTTGGCCTCAGACGTTGTCTATCCTAGTCTGAGAGATGGCCCATACAACACCAAGGTGTTCAACACCATATTGAATTTCATGAGACAACTTCATGCAAGATGAGGGTGATAATACTTAGTATTTACATACAGCATTGCATTTTCAAAACACTGTGCAAGAACCGTTAAATTCATCTGAGTCTGATATAATCTCATCATGATGGGATATATTCCCTATAGTGGCCCTCTGAGGATACGTCTAGACTATATCTGTTTGTCGGAAAAAGCTACAGAAAATGCGCACTGCATTTTGCATAGCTTTTTCCAATACTTTTGTCGGAAGAGGCTTTTCCAACATTTGGCCCATCTAGACTGGGCCAAATATTGGGAAAAAAAAACACCTTTTTTGGAAGCCTCCTTCTTCCTCATAGAACGAGGAATACAAAGGCTTCCAAAAGAGCACATTTGCTCTTCCGCAAAAAAACGGGTTCCCTGGACACAGTATCCCAGAAAAACTGTATAGTCTAGATATACCCTTAAAGGGTAAATTAGTCCAGGCAGGTCTATTTAACCAATTAAGCAGCAAGTAGGGGAAAGATGTAGGCTAAAAGGAGGCCACTAGTGAGAAGCAGACTCAGCTGGCCAGGAACAGGAGGGGCCTGCATAAAGTCCAAGAGCTGAGGGCTGCAGGATGGGAGTCTATAGTCAAAGGTGTCCACTTTCAAAAGCGTCAGGCCTTGCTCTCACTCCACCCTTACTCCAGACAGCTGGAGGGGAAGGACTGCAATTTCCCTAGAAGGGAGGAACTTAGCGACCTGGCTGGAGGGCCAAGCCTCAGACTGGAAGCTGTAGCACCAAGCATGACAGAGGCTGCAGGCTGAGAGAAGAAGACGGATAGAAAGGCCAATGAGGAGGACACAGCACTTGGCAGAGCTAACCCCTGGGATGAGGTACTGTGAGTGGTCAGGAAACCCCATCATAATCCTGCTTCCGCTCCCGCCTCCACAATAAGCCCTGATCTACACTAGGGAGTTATTTCTAAAAAAACCCTCCTTATTTCAACATAACTAGTGGCGTGTCCACACTACCAAGCCTGTTATTTGAAAATAACTGTCTGGGTATTTCAAAATATGTACTCCTGTTTTCCTCAGACAATAATGCTTAATTCAAAATAGTTATTTCGAAATAGTATTAGTGTGAATGCTCTGCTGCTGCTATTTCAAAATAACTACTCCTCAAAGAAATTTGAAGTAATTACTCCCCATTGCTTTCTGGGGCTTTAAGTTGAGATAGCACGTCCACATTAACAGAGCCTGCCTTGAACTAATTTTGAGTCTCCCCCACCCAAGGGGGACACACTATTTCAATTCTGTTATTTCAGGAGTTATTATTTCAAATTTTGGCTATTTTGAAATAATTTCCTCATGTAGACATGCCCTAAGAGTCATGTTGGTCGATGGAGGGCCTTTGTGATCTTCCATTGGTTGCGTATTTCATAGAGCTCATTTCTGCTGATATCATTTATAAAGACAAGGTAGGTAAGGTACTATCTTTTACTGGACCAACTTCTGTGGATGAAAGTGACAAGCCTTGAAACTTACATGTAACCACGGTACCACCCGCCTACCCGCCCCCCCTCCCTGGCAAACCAAACCAACAACGTAATATCTAAACAAGAGAATAACTTAACAATCAGATAGAGATACAGCACCATCTATTGACTGAGGTGCTGTCTGCATTGATTGTTACAAGAAGTGCATGTCTCTTTCTCAAACATGTGCAGTTCATTATGATTACATTGCATGTCCTTAAACAGGAGTGCTAGAAGTGAAAGAACAAATGTGTGTGATACTCTTTTTTTTTTATTTTATTTTGGACAGAGACCTTTCACAGAATGAGGACATCTGAAACTGCATTACACTGTTTAAGAAATGTTGCTAATTCTGCCAGTGAGCCAGACCACAGAGATAAGATCTTACATGAGAAGAAGCAGCTAATTTCAGCCAATTTGTTCTTATAAATTGTTTACTACTGTTTAATTAAACAGCCTTTGAGATAGAGGTTTTTAGAAGAAAGCCTCTTAGTCAAATAAAGCGAACAGTCTTTACCCAAGTTTCCATGCCAGCTAATGGGATATGCTCTAATTTCCAGTACTGGGGCTCTGACAGGCTTTTTACAAAGCTCTTTTGCAGTGACTTGGTATTTGTTGCCACTCCTGCTTGGTATCAATTTTTAGTGTCTGGAAGTAAAATTGGATGCACACAAGGATGGGGTGGGGAACCATTTTTGGGTCGAGGGCTGCTGACCCATGGAAAAATCAGTTGAGGGCTGCACACAAATGAGAAGCCAAACAAAAACAAAAACCAAAACCCCTCACTGACATGGCCCCAGACTGAGAAGGAGAAAAACATTCCCCATGTTCCCCTTACACACCAGAGCCCAGGGGGGGTCCAACATAGTAGATTTTGTTGTTCTAGCCCTGCAGGGGCACAGCATGGGGGCCAGTGTAGCCAGGGCCGGCCTTAGGCTGATTCGCCCGATTCCCCCGAATGGGGCCCCACGCCTAAAGGGGCCCCGTACCCTGAACCCGGAAGTGTGCCAGGCACCATGGGCGGCGAGTGAATATTCAGAGCGTTCCTCCCCCCCCTCCCCCGGCCCTGTACTGTCCCTGCTGTGCGCTGCTTTCAATGTGGATCCCCCTTACCAGCTGCTGCTGCTGCCATGCACGGCATTTGCAGGTGAGTGGGGAGGACGTCATGTCACGCCCGGGATTTTAAAACTCCTTGGAGGCATGTTGCGTCACATGGCCTGACTCCAGGTTCGGAGGGGTGGGGGGGAGAGGAAGGGGCTTGTGCAGAGGAAGAGGGGGGAAGGGGAGGTGCTTGTGCGGAGGGGGAGGGGAGAGGGGAAGGGGCTTGTGGTGAGCAGGAAGGGGTTGGTGCGGAGGAGGAGGGGGGAGGGGGAGGTGCTTGTGCTGAGGGGGAGGGGAGAGGGGAAGGGGCTTGTGGTGAGCAGGAAGGGGTGGGAGAGGAAGGGGCTTGTGCTGAGGGGGTGGGGGAAGAAAGAGGAAGGCACCAAGAGACAGGGTGGAAGAGAGACAAATGCCAGGAGGCCAAGTGCAGACAATGAGGAAAAGGGCAGGAGGGGAGGTGTCAGTGGGAGGGGGAACAGGGTGATGCTGGGAGAGGAGAGGAGAGGGGAAGGGCATTGTGGGCTAGAAGGGGGAGGGGGAGGTGCTGGGAGAAGGCTTGAAAGAAGGGGTGGGCATGAGAAAGTTGGGGATGGAGCAAGTCATGTGTGAGAACAAAGAGGAGCAGGCGGGGAACGGGGCAGAGAGTGGTGGGGGGTGGGGCATCAGGGAAAAAGAGTCAAAGGGGGCAGGAGCAGGCTGAGGGTAAGGTGTCTGGCCAGGGGGAGGGGGCAGGAGCAGGCTGAGGGTAAGGTGTCTGGCCAGGGGGAGGGGGCAGGAGCAGGCTGAGGGTAAGGTGTCTGGCCAGGGGGAGGGGGCAGGAGCAGGCTGAGGGTAAGGTGTCTGGCCAGGGGGAGGGGGCAGGAGCAGGCTGAGGGTAAGGTGTCTGGCCAGGGGGAGGGGGCAGGAGCAGGCTGAGGGTAAGGTGTCTGGCCAGGGGGAGGGGGCAGGAGCAGGCTGAGGGTAAGGTGTCTGGCCAGGGGGAGGGGGCAGGAGCAGGCTGAGGGTAAGGTGTCTGGCCAGGGGGAGGGGGCAGGAGCAGGCTGAGGGTAAGGTGTCTGGCCAGGGGGAGGGGGCAGGAGCAGGCTGAGGGTAAGGTGTCTGGCCAGGGGGAGGGGGCAGGAGCAGGCTGAGGGTAAGGTGTCTGGCCAGGGGGAGGGGGCAGGAGCAGGCTGAGGGTAAGGTGTCTGGCCAGGGGGAGGGGGCAGGAGCAGGCTGAGGGTAAGGTGTCTGGCCAGGGGGAGGGGGCAGGAGCAGGCTGAGGGTAAGGTGTCTGGCCAGGGGGAGGGGGCAGGAGCAGGCTGAGGGTAAGGTGTCTGGCCAGGGGGAGGGGGCAGGAGCAGGCTGAGGGTAAGGTGTCTGGCCAGGGGGAGGGGGCAGGAGCAGGCTGAGGGTAAGGTGTCTGGCCAGGGGGAGGGGGCAGGAGCAGGCTGAGGGTAAGGTGTCTGGCCAGGGGGAGGGGGCAGGAGCAGGCTGAGGGTAAGGTGTCTGGCCAGGGGGAGGGGGCAGGAGCAGGCTGAGGGTAAGGTGTCTGGCCAGGGGGAGGGGGCAGGAGCAGGCTGAGGGTAAGGTGTCTGGCCAGGGGGAGGGGGCAGGAGCAGGCTGAGGGTAAGGTGTCTGGCCAGGGGGAGGGGGCAGGAGCAGGCTGAGGGTAAGGTGTCTGGCCAGGGGGAGGGGGCAGGAGCAGGCTGAGGGTAAGGTGTCTGGCCAGGGGGAGGGGGCAGGAGCAGGCTGAGGGTAAGGTGTCTGGCCAGGGGGAGGGGGCAGGAGCAGGCTGAGGGTAAGGTGTCTGGCCAGGGGGAGGGGGCAGGAGCAGGCTGAGGGTAAGGTGTCTGGCCAGGGGGAGGGGGCAGGAGCAGGCTGAGGGTAAGGTGTCTGGCCAGGGGGAGGGGGCAGGAGCAGGCTGAGGGTAAGGTGTCTGGCCAGGGGGAGATGGCCCTGGAGGAGGAGTGCATCGGCTGCCTGCGCCACAGTGTAGCGCAGGTTTTCCCTGTGCTGCGGAAGCGGGGTGTGTGTGTGTTGGTGGGGGATTTCTTTGTGCTGTGTTTTTTATTTATTTATTTATTTATAAAATTGTTCGAATTGGGCCCCGCACTTCCTAAAGCCAGCCCTGAGTGTAGGTTCCCCAATGCCTGGGGCAGTAGGGCTGAGCCCTGAGAGCTGTATCCAGGCAAGCTAGGGGCTGCGTTCAGTCCCTGGGCCATAGGTTCCCCACCCCTGCACTAGAATAAAGTCAAAAGAGGCAGTAGGGATCGAGTCTCTCTGGTGTTTATATTTGAAATTATTCACGCTGTACAAAAATAATGGTCCTGCTCCTTAGACCAAATATCATCAGGCTACCCAATTTGGAAAGCATTTATCTTTCTACAGTTGGGATGGGGAGGCCTAGAGGATCAGGGTAGTTCTACTGAAGTTAAAGGAGCAACACTCATTTACCCCAGTTGAGAATCTGGCCAGTGGATTTGTTTGAGCTTTATGTATCTTCCAAACCCAGCCCTGGATCTACAGTGACAACCTGTCCCTGTTTAAATAATCTGTTCTTGACATATTCTTTGATTTTAAGGGGCAGGACTGAAGTGCAGAAAAAGATCATTAAAGATATTGTAATACATAGCAATGTGATGTTATCCCCTACACATAAAAACAGTGATATGTGATTGGCAATATATTGCTCCAGAAATAATACTAAACTATCTAAATACAAATCCAAGATGCCACCGTTTGATTTTTCCCATGCAAAGTAAAAGTAATCAGGTGTGAGTGAACTTTAATCTTTGGCCCTTATCCTGGCAAACCATTCCACACAGGAAGACCCTTACATCAGCGCAAGGCCCATTGAAACCCGATCCCCATGAGCACAGGGGATCTGTCTGTGAGGAACAGCTTGCAAATGCAGAAATTTACATCTTACCAAAGAGCAAAAGGACAGTCACTTTCTGAATCTGTTACATTATATGAATGAAAAGTGATCAGTCTTAGAGCGGAGACCCTTAAACTAAATTTAAATTAGGTGGCCTGTAAAGTCTGATTACTGAGAAGCTGGGGGCAGGGGGAGGTGGTGAGGTGGCTCCCGGGGAACTGGTGCATGTGGGGAGCTGGCTTTTAAGCCCGCTCCCCAGGTGTACCGGAACTTGCGTGTAACCATGAAGGCTAACTCTCACGTCCCTAGTGTGTATTCAGACAAATTACTGAATATGATTCTGATTATTCCAATATCTGATTTAAGGGGCAGAGAAGTCAAAATAATCACCTCACACCGCAGAAAGTAATGACCAGACTTCTCTCCAGGACTGCAAAATTAGATCAGCTTTTCCCAATTAAAAAGGCTTTCACTCATTACAGCTTAGAAGTAGCATTCTTATGCCCAGCAAAACACCATGCAAACTACCGTGCCAAACTGTGACTCATATTCTGAGATTATAGTGATTGCCCCTTTCCCCCACCACAGTTTCACTATTAGCTTGGACAGAATTGCCTTTTGAACCTGACACTGATACGGATGAAACCTGAGATATGTGTAAATGGAGAAGCAGCAAGAAATTCTACCTTGGCTGGAAGAGCAATGCTAACAACACTTCATGTTATAAACCAAAATCGAGCTAAGTTTCAGTTATTGTATACAAAAACCAGTAAGAATTTAGACTTTTCTTCTTCCTCTGAAGCATAGGAACAACTTAAAAAATAGCAGCATGTTTCATAGGTCTTGTGAACATTTTTGAGCAAATGAAAAATTTCCACTCTGGAGAGCATCATCTATCCTGTGTACTGAGTGAAGAAAAGGTTGCATGATCACACATTTAAACACTGATGATGTAATAAAAGACTGGATCCAAATACATACACATAAGGAAATGGAATGAAAGATGCCCAGATTACTTATGCAGGAAAACTACACAGGCACCTCTCTAAGGGTATGTCTACACTACAGAGTTAATTCGAACTAAGCTAATTCGAACTAACGCGTCTAGAACTAAAAACTAGTTCGAATTAGCGTTTTGCTAATTCGAACTAGCAAGTCCACATTGAGTGGACCCTGAACAGGGCTTAAGGATGGCCGGAAGCAGTGCCGGCAGGGCATCAGAGGAGGACTTAGAGCGTGGAGATGCTGTCTCAGGCTAGCCGAGGGCTGCGCTTAAAGGGACCCGACCCCCACCCCGGACAGACAGTTCTCAGGGGTGCCCCGCTTGAAAACCAGTCCTGGCTTGGAGTGCCCGGAGTGCCCACACTGGGCACATCACAGCACTCGGCCATCAGCCCGGCTGCACTTGCCGCAGGCTGCCATCTGGGGAGAGGGGACAATTGGGGGGCGGCAGGAGAGCTTCCACCCCCAGAAGCTCGCAGAGCCAGCCCAGTCCTCCCCATCGGGGGCTCGTACCCCATTCCTCCCTCACCACCTTCCACTTACCCTTCCCTAGCCCCCCTTCTTATTGATGTACAAAATAAAGATAACGTTTCTTCCAACATTGACTCTGTCTTTATTGAACAAAGCTGGGGGAGACTGGGAAAAGGAGGTGGGAGAGGGGAAGAGAAAGGCTGGGAGAGGGGAGGGCAACTAACATGATCAGGGGTTGGGAACAGGTCCCAGATGAAGAAAGGCTACAGAGACTGGGACTGTTCAGCTTAGAAAAGAGGAGACGGAGGGGGGACAGGATAGAGGTCTCTAAAAGCAGGGGTTGGGTGGAGAGGGTGCATTCAGAAAAGTTCTTCATGAGTTCCCATAAAGAAGGACTAGAGGACACCAAAGGAAAGGAATGGGTAGCAGGCTTGAAACTAGTAAGAGAAAGTTGTTCTTGACAAAGCAAATAGTTAACCTGTGGAACTCCTTGCTGCAGGAGGCTGTGAAGGCTACAACTAGAACAGAGTTTAAAGGGAAGTGAGATCAAGTCATGGACGTTGGGTCCATGGAGTCCTATTAGCCAGAGGGTAGGAGTGGTGTCCCTGCCCAAAGTTTGTGGAAGGCTGGAGAGGGATGGCACGAGACAAATGGCTTGGTCACTGTCTTCGGTCCATCCCCTCCAGGGTCCCTAGGGTTGGCCGCTGTCGGCAGACAGGCTACTGGGCTAGATGGACCTTTGGTCTGACCC